TGTCACTGATATGCTCACTGGCAGACATACAAAATCTGACGCTATACGCCTTCAGAAGAGGGGCGATCACCAAGATGCTGGCAATTTGGGGTCAACAGCTCACCAAGGTCCTGGTCAAACACCGCCAGAACTCTGACGCCGTAGCGCAAAATTACTCGTACCGTGTGGCGCAGGTGGATATGTCTGGCATTGCAGTTGGCAAGGATTCGACTGTGATCGAGGGGAGTTCTATTCGAGATGGTGCGGCCTTCCACAGGTAAGTTTCCCATCCCGGGCTGCGACTTGATCAAAGTGTCCTCCGTTCAGGGCACAGGGCGCAGTTGAATATGATCTAAATGCGATCAAATCCGCCATCCGTTCCTCCAGTGAATGTGCCGCGCAGGCATCCGAGATCATGCTTTTAAGAACCCAAATTCGTGAAGTTTCGCCGGATCTGTCCTTTCTCAGTGTGGGTTGTACGTTCTTGCATCCCAAATCCTGTTTGAATTTTTGAAACCCCAGCTTGACCTACGTTCTCGGTGTGACGATGATATACACACGCTATTGGCATACCTGGAACGCCGTTTCAGGGCCCTCCTTATTCGCCTTGGCAAAAAAGAAGTTGACCGTCAGTATCAACAAGCAGAACAGGCTGGGCGGGCATTAGTAACAGTGGAGACGGTCGAGGCTCGGAAAAGTGAACAGAACGAGATCTCCAAGGTCATCCTGGACATCATGGATCAGCCCGACTTTCAGGCGTAACTGCACCGTATAATCCTCTCAATTAAACATCCACTAACTACAGTCCTCAGATACCTCCCTGGGCGCCAAGTCGACGACTTGACGGGAGATATCGATGTCCGTTGCTCGGAGGACGATGCGGAAGCAGATGCTGAGAAGGAACAAGCATATAGGGAAGCGTTCCTTCAGTAAGTCGCTCACGTTAAGGGATTCTCAGGAGTGAACGTTTTGTGCAGCCACCTCTGTAGCAAGGCTAACGGCCCGCGCGTCCTCAACGCAGTGGGGATCTGCACTCCAGCCCACGACAATGGATGCCCAGATATAACGTCAATCCTGTACCCTGGCCCCCACGTATTGCTCGACGGGCCCACCACCTTGATGGCTGGTCCTGTACGCCTGACGGACGGTCCTACACGCCTGACGGACGGCCCACTCCTATTCTTTTGATTTTTTGGTCCATGTGATCTGGAACCATGGAGTAATGGCCTATTATATACCTTGTATCCACGCTTTATCACGTCTCGTCCCCAACTGCTTGGTAGAATTACGCGAATCACGTTATTTTAGTTGATCATTGCTGTGTTTTTCCTTCTTTCAATGTGTGTTCGTCTAGCAACAAGTTAACCCTAACATATCTCCTCGTGTTCAATCCTCGACCTCGAGTTGCTCCCGACGCCGTCGCCGACGCTGCTCATCTTTCTGCTTATCCGACATGCTTTCCCAAGCGCGATATCCGTAGATGTCTTCCACCTCCTGCTCCAACAGCTCATCCTCGTCCGCCGCCCGTTTTCTCCCCGCCTCCGAGACCCCCTGCGGGGCTGCCATCACCTGCGGTTTAGCTTTGGAAAAGAGCCCTGGGACTTTCGGTGTCCCGGCGTTTTGCCAAGGGATCGAGTAGCGTGCTACAGGGTTGAGGCCCGTTCCGGTATCTCGAATAGACTGCCCTAGAGGCTTGCCGAATTGAAGGTTGATTTTTCGTTTCGGAGGAGGCGCATACGTTCCATCTTCAGCCGTCCTTTTCTTGCTACTCCGGACCGAAAGGGGGAGAGGCGGCAAGGGAAACGCGGGGGTCGTCGGAACCTTGACCAAGGCTTCGTTCGGGGACTGAGGAGATCGAGCTGTCAGATGTCGCGGAGCGTAAGGGGAGGACGAAAGGTCAATCTTCGAAGTGCTGGCAAGATTTTCGGAGCTACCAGAATGCTCTGCCGGATATTTTCTGTCGTCACAGTCGAGCGAGTGGGAGTTGGTTGGGACGGCTTCAGGAGCGGTCATAAGGAAAGTTTTCTCGTTGTCGATCTCTGCTTCGCCATCGGTAGGCTCTTCAGAATAGGCTTGTGGAAGGGGCGACGAGTATGCAGCCCACAGGGCTTTTTCGTCGGGATCGTCGATCAAGTCCATTCCCACTCCTCTCGCGTCCGCGTACCAGAGCGACGCTGGCAAATCATGGACGGGGGAGCTCCATATTTGGGTCTGCTCAAGGCTAGATGCAATTATGTCGCCTGCGATAAGTAAATCAGTTGCGTCCAATTTGAGCAGGTAAGGATCCGCCCTACTCATTCTTCTAGCGAGGGTGGTTGAGATGGATAGGTGATGATTTTCCTCTTTAGGACCCACGATCAATTAGGACTACGCTCGAGCCGTGTCAGAGCATCACATCGGAGAGAGTCAAAGAGTCGAAAGTCTAGAGTCGAAAGAAGCGACTCGAGACGGCGTCGTGGAGAAGTGGCCTCGACTTCTGCCTCATGTAGCCACAACAGATACGAGTCGCTCGCGCCTGACGACTATTTCTCTATGTGTGCTTGATGTGTGCTAACACTCTTCCACTGGCAGATGGATTACATCCCCGACAACATCCGACCCCCGTTGACGAGCTTTATCCTCCTTCCCCCATCAAAGAAGAAGCTCCCTTGCCCACCAAACGTATACGCCGACCGACTGCGAAAGAGCTGCAGGCATTGGAAGATCCTCTCCCGGAAGGGCCTGGCCCTCTCCTTGACGGCGAATCGATGCAGGACAATGAGGTGGAACCACTTAGACCGGAGCCAGTTCTTCTACGGATCCCGCGACTCTTTCGGACTGCGGCTAATTCGTTCGGCTTGTCGAGGATCTACCGCAACAAGCCTACTGTTATTCCAGATATGGATAGCCCGTTCACTGAGCGGGTGACTCGTACAGCACCCAGATAGTATGTCTGCAACATTCTTCGGACTGAAGTCAGGCTCAAATATTCCAGGGAGAGCTGCAGCACCGAGTCGTCAAGAGATGGAATGGTCGTTCCAGCAAAAACAATGCAACTCCCCAGATCATCAAGATGGATGTGCGGGAATCTGCGCATGAGCGAATGCAGCAGGAACTTGTCCGTCATGAACCGGTCAAGCCCGTCGACCCGGTTTCACTAGACCAACATCATCGCATTGCGAAGGATGAATCTACCAAGGTTTATTTCAGCGACATAGAATTTACAGATCCGGCGTTTAAGGTATGCCTGCCTGTGCTCTCCCTGCTGGGATCTGAATGTTTGGCGCTGCGGCGTGAAGCGTGCCCGAAATACAAATTATCAGATTTTATTCAATATTATTCATTTTTATTCAAATCCTGCCTGACAATATCCACTGTGCAAAACCTCCTCGTAAACCGCTCACATACGCTCACAACCCATCCCTCGGAGCGTATTCCACACAATTGTTTCCCTCGTTGCCAATCAAGGTAACTCTTACCTCTGATTGCAACCCAAAGAAAACTGCCTTACATTTGGGATGTAAACTAGGCGGGCGCCATACACGCAATTTCGTGGGTTGCGCGCTGCTTGCGCCCAATTGCGCGGGTTACGCGCGGATGTGACCCGCATATCAGCCGGTGACAAATCTTCTGGGAATTTTGCGATGTAGACGCGGTGTTTGGCAACGCCATCCAAGCCAAACTCGACATATCGTTCCCAATCGGGGGATCATGCCCAAAACAACATCCCCGCGGAACCGTGACAGCTTATATTTGAAGGGACGGTAGCCGAGGTGCTATTTTAGCAGCAGGAATAGAAACTTGTTAATGCGCGTTTGATTTTCACCCGCAGACGCGTCTCAAGATTACGCCGTGCCAGACGTGGAATAGGGATGTGAACCGATCATAATACAGATAGAACAGGTAGAAGTAGAATGCGCTGATTATATGCGAAATACAGATTATATACAATGAGGGCTATATTGGATGCAGGGACCTGCATATTGTAGAGACCTTGTTTGATTAGTACATTTACGCGTAAGGGCTAGCAGAGACGTCCGCGTGCGTGGCGACTGAGGCGCGGTTCAGAGTCGCGCCGCCGATGTTGAAGTTGACGTGGGCCTGCGCGGCGACTGCGTCGTTCAGAGTGGCGGCGACTGACGCCTGCACGGCATGGGCGTTCGACGCGTAAGGGCTAGCAGAGACGTCCGCGTGCGTGGCGACTGAGGCGCGGTTCAGAGTCGCGCCGCCGATGTTGAAGTTGACGTGGGCCTGCGCGGCGACTGCGTCGTTCAGAGTGGCGGTGACTGACGCCTGCACGGCGTGGGCGTTCGACGTGGGGTTGAGAACGTTGAAGTCGACGTGGGCGTGAGCGTTCGCGGCCTGGTGACCCACGCCGGCCTGGACGTTGGCGGCGGGGTGCACGTTCGCGCCGACGAGGTTGAAGTGGGCGTAGGCGTGTGCTGCCACGGCGATTGGTACGTGCACATTCACGCTGGCGACTGTGGTGTGCGGGTTCGCACCGGCGTGAGCGTTCGCGGGGGGATGCATATTCACGCCGGCGTCAGCAGGCGCTGTGGTCGAACGCGTGTGGGCGGCGTTGGGTGTTAAGTACGGGTGATATCTGTGAGACCTGGTGCGTTGTTGGCGATATGCGGGCATCTGCTGAACGATGAGTAGCTGGTGCCATAGCTGAGGGTCACAGTGGGACTTGCCCTTAAGGTGGTAGTGGTTTGAGGAAAGAACGATGTTGAGCTACGTTTGGTTCCAGACAAATCAGGATGGTCTTTAAATACCTTCTCACTCCCGCGGCGGTAGGCAGACTAGGCCATCTGTTAACAGGGTGACCTGCGAGAAGGGGTACACGATTTTGGGGGGCGCACAACGTTATTTGGAGGTTTTTTATTCGCGTCTGATCCGACTTCCCTTGAAGGGGGCTTTCTGGGTGAACCCGTGACGGCGTCCTGGCTGCGAAGGTAATAATGATTTGTCAATTTGACGCAGCTTACTACTATTAGGTAGAATGCCCAGAGAATAAGTTGGGGCAGCATACCTACAGGAAAGCTGCAGTGACCTAGAGGTCAGGTGCTTGACTTATAAGGCGAAACCCAATCGTTGTCACTTTACGCGGGTTCGAGTCCCGCCTGCAGCGTTGCTTTTTTGATATTAGCGGAAGAGTTTCTGTTTGTTGGACATCTGCTGCCTTTTCCAGAAACTGAGGGAGACTGTACACGCTGGCCAACAAGCTGACAAGCTCGCACTTATTTTTTGCAACAAGTGGAGCAAAGGATACAAATAGACAAGGAACATGTACTCACGGCGACCGAGAGGTTAGGTGCACGACGAACGTAAATATTCAGGAACAGCGTTGTCCTGTTGAACTGGTGCGAAACCCGGAGACGTTTTTTGTGCTAACCCTGTCGCGTTTCGGACCACTTGGTCTACAAACCAGTGTTAAGAAAATGGCTTTCATCTCTAACCACACGGTCATAGCGCAGGCCGCTCCTCACAAGAGGTTTCAGCAGGAACAAACAAAAATTTGAGACGAACAAGCAAAGTGTCCCCCAGAAGAACAAACACGAACAAATAAAAAAAAATTGCTGAACACACGATTGGGATGCCACAAGCGGGAATCGAACCCGAGTAGTAAATGCAACAACTGTGTACAAGCTGAACGCACACTTGACCTCTCGGTCACTGTGGCCACTATACAATGTAAACCTGTGCCCCCTAGTCCGTAGTTATATCTAATATTAGCACGACGCTCTAACCAACTGAGCTAGACGGCCGGTGGGTTTCGTGCCTCTCTAAAATTGTTGAGCGACAACGGAATCGTACGATGAAGGGCGCATGTACGTCCTAAGCAAGAATTATGAAAGTCAAGGGTACATGACAGGGACCACTTACCATCGTCATGGTAGGTAGGTAGGTAGGTAGGTAGGTATATTCCGGCGTGGTCTCGTTAAGAAACATGGTGTACAGCTGCTTCAAGGTCTTGGGACATTTTGGTGAGATCCATCCACGTGCGCTCATCCTTTCCGTAGATCCACGGGAAGGATTTGGCAACACCTCAACGACTCCCATGGATAGTCTTTTAAACAGGTCTTTTCCTGCTCTGTAAATAGTTTTACCGTTGCAAAGCAAGGGGAATTTTAACGTTTCGCAGTGATTCGATCAACGCGGGCTTGATTCCTGCCTTTTTTATTAGCACGATGCTCTAACCAACTGAGCTAGACGGCCAGTGACTTTAGTTCACTCTCTAGTAGATCGGCTACACCTGACCTGGTTTAATCCTTGTCTAATCCTATCCTATACATGAAGGTGGTAGGCCGGTGAGCGGCAGGTCACAAACAGAAATTTTTGATGGAACTCTGAATGGCTGCTCTGGGGCCATTGAAGATTTTATTGGCAGACTCGAATCATAGGGCCTATGACCTCATAGCTCCATTCGGTTTGTATACATAAGTAAGTTCTAAGTTGAATTTCTTAACTCATTCATGAGGCTGAAAACAAGCCCCGCGTAAAATAAATGAGACACGTCCTTGATGAGCCATACTAGAGTAGGCTTTCATCCTCCGAAGAATGCCTTGAACTTCGCGGCTACAAGCTGGACAACCTGGTTGAACTGGCTGGAATCGCTCTTGAGCAGTTCTTGAGCAGGATTCCCTCTCTGCGAGAATTGTAATGTGCCCCGATGGGCCCTGACCGTGACTGTGGCTTCCCAAAGTCTAACATATGAGACTATTGAGCACATTAAAACCCATTTGGTAACAGTCTCAGTACCCATAAGCACAAACTATTGTTTGTGAATTATCCTGGTTGTTTCTACGGTGCGAAGGCCTAGAACATCTCGAGAAACTGTAAGCGCCTAAAAAGCTATGCAATGACGACATGCCGCTCCTTTTGCCGACACAAGTCATATCCTTTACGTGATACATTTTCAGACATTCTCGGTCTCCATAGCATGAAGGTGGTAGGCCGGCGAGCGGCGGGTCACAAACAGAATTATCTCTAAGGGCTCAGATATTTTATCAGGAGCAGATCCTAGCAGACTCGGAATGCCCAATCCTAAGTACTAAGTTCAACTAGTTTAGATTGATATTTCCCGTTCTAAGCAGGTTCTCGTCCTTTCAGGATCATCTTGATTTTTAAGGCTGGGAAATCTTCGTGCCCATGTGATGAGCCCTGGATTGTTAACGGTGTGCAACCTTGTTTTATGCCTCCTCCGGAAACAGAGTATGATCGCTGGCGACGATGTCAACAATAATGCTGGGACTATAATTATGCCGACTGACAGCCGAGACAGATTAGTAGTCAAAGCCGAACCCAGTGATCGCCTTCCGAGTGCCGACATCAAGAAGGTATTTTATTGCTGTGTATACGGACCATACCGGCTAGAAGGGGCCTTGAGGGCAAGTGCGCCCGGAAGATATAGATATAGAAGTAGGCCCGGGCTTGCCGGGCCTGGCAGGCCTGGCATTCCTCAAGCCCGAGCCTGTAGGGGCCATATAGTACATTTTCCCCTTTTCTGGATACTCTTCAACTAACTCCTATTTACTTGTATTTTTCCATTTCTCTCGACGCGTAGGGTCACATGCTTCATTATGTAATCATGTAGATATGCCTTTGTACGTCGAGATCAATATCATCATCCTCCATACCATAACCATCCAACGACCTAACGTCCGTTCGTCTCGCTCTCTTAACAGCAGACTCACGTACTAGGTCAGCGGGTGATTAGGTTTGTTGGTACTCAGCAGTACTGAAGCTTAATTCACGAGGAGAGAGTCTCGAGCATCTGCCAGCAGTAATTATCTTATCTGCTGCCATCCGCATTACATCTGCATTTGATCCGTTTCATAGAGCTTTAGAGCTCTATCTAGCATTCTCCTAGCCTCTGAGCTAGTCGTGGATCGAAGCCATAGTGGATAATCCCATTGGCTTGCTGCGAGACCAGATCAACACTTGGACACAGATATTCTGGTCCAAGGGGTCTCCAGCTTTATTGATATCGACTCTCTCGGGGACTTGGAAGCTTATCCAAGTCCCCACAACACCATTATAACTCCAGAGTACTCGCCAGGGTCGTACGACGTGCATCCCACAATAAATATTTGTAACCTGCACTCGAGGATCGTTACAGAGCCCTGGGCCCTCCAAATGTCGGGCTCAGCTCGGCTTGCGGGCCTGGGCCGAGCCCTCAACATCACTAGTACCCATGATAGCAGTGGATGAAGGACTCGAGATCTTGGAAGTAGAACGAATTGCTCAAACACTCAGATTTCAGACTGCTCGACGACGAGAAAGGCTTCAGTCTCCGAAGATTAATATGGTCCAGACCTAAATGGACCCAAAACGGGTTATGTAATGGCGACATTTTCGGTCTCCATAGCACAAACTATTCTGTTTCAATTTGTGAATCACACCAGATAAAGGAAAATATTAACCTACGTCAATATGTTAGCATAGAGTAGATAATTCAGTGGATGAATCCAAGCTTGCAAATAGGTAATGAATTCATCTGGTGCAAAACCACCACCGAATTAGCCACAATCAGCAGGTGTTTCAAAGGCAAGATGTTTATCTATTATCAGCGAGGTAAGAAAGAACTGTTGAAATATTGACTTTCAGCAGCCATGTCCAGCAAGAAGAAAGGACAACTTTCAAAAATTCCTTTGTTCGAACAAAGGAATTTTTTATTGCAATTTTCAAATCTAATGTCTTTCGGCGAAAAAAAAAAGTTTCGATTGAGTGCGCCAGACGTGGCGCGTTCGGTCCCCGGACCGTGCGTTCTTTTTTGGGACACACGGCCAAACAAGGCAACTTTCTGGACGCTCTTTGACACTCCTCCGCCCCTCGCACCCTCCATGCCGAACCGCAGAATACACGACGACTCCAAGAAGATTGCTCTCCGTATGATTGATCGTGGCCGCGACTCTCGGGATGAGATAGCTGCAATCTGTGGCTTTTCGAAGCGTATGCTGGGCCGCACTCTCCGCCGGTACCGTACCACTGGAAGCGTCGCTAGGGCAGCTCCGATTGGTACAGGTAGACCACGACTTCTACATGCTAGAGACTCCCTCTACCTGCTCCGCCTCGCCAAACACCAGCCTTGCACATTCCTTGATGAATACCAAAAGTTCCTCCACAAACACCGCCATCTTCCCGCATCTATTTCCATGATTCATCGTACCTTCGAACGTGCCGGACTCAGCGTCAAAAATGTCCAGAAGATGGCGTCAGAACGTGATCCCATGCAGGAGGGAGAATTTGTGGCCCGCATCGCTGAATATCCAGCAAATTACTTGGTCCCTCTCGATGAAATGTCCAAGGATAACCGGACGTATGCGCGGTTGTGGGGCAGATCGGCTGTTGGGAGTCACGTTGAAGTTTACAACCCATTCGTCCGCAAGCGCAGATATACGGCAATCGCTGCCATGGCACTCGACAAAGGCATCATTGCCTGCCGGGTGATTGAAGGGTCTTCGGACAGAGATACTTTTATTCACTTTCTAGAGACTGACCTTGTGAGTTCCTCTTTATCATTCATCCATATAGTTTTCACCTCTCTTTAGCTGCCTGTTATGAATCCATACCCCGGTCCCCAAAGCATCCTTTTGCTCGACAACGCGAGAATCCATCACTCTGATGAGATTCATGAACTTGTCGAATCTTACGGTACACTCTATTGTTTGACCGAACTCTGATTATTCTGATGAAGCATTCCAGGATGTCGGATTGAGTACCTCCCACCCTACTCACCTCATTACAATCCTATCGAACAAGTTTTCTCGGTCATCAAATCGCATCTTCGTCGCATCGGCCTTGGCGCTTTCCCCGCATCCACTGCATATTATGAGCTGTACCGTGCTTTCCAGATCATCACTCCCGAAATGACGTGGGGATTCTTTAGACATTCTGGACTTGTTTAGCGCCACTACTAGTATATAGCTTTCACATGTGTAACAATTGAACAACCGCACAAGTATGCAATCAGAAACCCGCCTTCCCTTTCTTCCATTGAGCCTCCACATATCTAACTGAAACCCGCTGCCCTATCTCGAGGTACTTGTCCAGAATCTCATTTTCCACAAATTCGAGAACATGGGGACCGGCGAGTTTCATGGGCGTCAGCTGGTCAAGAATATCGGG